ATTGTGCAAGGTATCAATGCTCTAGCCATACTCTTAGCAAAGAGCAATGTTTCTGTATCTTTATGCATAGGCAACTCCTCTACAAGCATGCTATCTTCCAATATAGTCTTATTCACCACTACCAATGTCTGTTTGCCAAAATTTTTACTAGCTTTTCTTAGGAAACAGTTTATCAAAGTCTCTTGCTTCTATAGCACAGAGGTGATCAGTGGTATTCAAGTTGTAGGCCAGACATTTTCATTGTTGCTTAAAAATATGGATAACCTGTCAAATTATATTGATTGTGTCTACTGAGCACAACTAAATGGTGCCATTAGGCTTTGTTGCTAAGAGCATATTAGTCATACACAAGACTAACATGCTTTTTTGCCCCATGTTGGTATAATAATGGCTTTTATAAATTCCTTCTATGAACTTCATATAAGTATAACATAACCCTTTAGGGAATCCAGTACTAGATCATGGAGCAAACCACAGGCTTCAAAACAGCTAATCCAGTCAAAAGATCTTATACTATCAAGCACTCAATAATAAAAGAGTCATTGTGACTTCTTACCTAATAGTCAACATGCAGAGTCTGTCAAGTCCACTAGAAATATGGATGACCAAACACAGCAGTGCTTAGGCCAATAGTTTTGATAGCTTACAACTAAGTTTGCACTATATATCATCTCTATTTTTTTTCCACAATGTTATGACATTTGTGTCACCCCTATTCACAATATTTGTACAACATCATCACATTCATAGATATCAGTTCCATGATCAACACCTTTATCCTTTACACCAAAGACATTATTTGATGATCTTCTCTATCATACCAGGACATTTGTCTTCTCTGTTTACTATGGTCTACAATATTTATTAGCTTTGCTCAGACTTATGGTCCCTCAATGTATCAATTACATGTATTAGTGTTGGTGCTAGGCAACAACTCCCTTTATATTTTAGACATACACTATAAGTTTCACAATCTCCTATGTGGACTACTTTGAGGTTATTTAGATGCCCTATCATCTTTGATGGCACAATGCAATTTGATAATTTTTTTTTTCAGAGGAGTTTACATAGAAAGTCCAAGACATTTATACTTATTTGCAGTCTTTGGTGTTTATCACTCATTCCAATTTAATGGCTACTTATCATATGACACTCATCTAGAAAAACCTCCTCTTTTAATTAGATCTAATTATTCCAAATGCTAATCTGAGCTAATTAAAATATAGCATCCATAATCAACTTTATAATCAAATCTGCAATTAAAGATGACATTGTTTATACTACTACAATTTTATTGGAATCTACAACCCAATTACAACTTTACACATTTCAAATCCAAATTGTGTAAGTGCTACAATCTTGTATGTTATTTATTTTGTATTAGTTTACTATATTATTGTCTGGTGCCTAAATTCAAATATCAAAAGCCCTAAATTTTAGAGCATTTACTAACCCCTTTATATATAGAATAAATAAAAGATGAATGTATAAGAATCAGAAATGTTAAGATTGTCTTATTTATACTATCATATTTAGGTTACTAGATAAATAACTTAGACCTTGTGGCTCAGTAGTTTAGAGCAGTAGTCTGGATGTACAGGTATGAGATTGTTGGTTCAACTCTGGTGATGGGCAAGTTTATTACAAGATAAGACTTAAGTCTGATTAGTGAGCTCTATAGATACTCTATGATTAAAGGTATAGTAATAGTAGAGGAATCATAAGACTGGATTAGTTGATATTTCTTCAAAAATCCATATGATAAATTAGCTTTAATTAGCTCTAATTGGATCTTATAATTTCAGGATTAGAGAGAGGGTAAGCTAAAAATCCTTAATAGTAATTGGTAAAAATCTAGCTATATTTATGCTTAACTATGGTTAATTTGATATGGAGCTTTTTTCTAATGAGGGTGTGGCAGCAAGCTAGAGCTTTATGCAAGGTAGGGACAAGAAAAGTCTATTCTAGTATTATAAACTACTCATTTAGTAGCCCCAAAAGTAGTAGGTTCCTCCTTAGGTCATATAATAAAGCAATGGAAAGTCCACTATATTACAAGGGAATACAGGGAATATAATAGATATCTATATGTGGAGATATAGATAGAACAAAGGTAGACAGTATAAAAACTATCTAAGAATGAAGAGTATAGTATAAAGACTATACTAGAACAAAGAAAATAGACTTAAGTCCCTTAGCCTATTTTATAAACCTTATATGCTACTCTGGAATGGGTTCTAAAAGGATCCTAAGACTGCTGCTCTCTCAGTTAGTGTTGACTTTCGTGCTACCCATCTACATCTAACTAACCTGGTATATGATAGCTTGCATATCTATGTAGCTCTAAGCCTACTACCATACTGTCCCTCAATCCTATTAAGTCCCTTTACTAATTATAATATGATCCATCAGTTATACCAGCCCTCTAGAGGACAATACTAGATATCATATTATATATGTCTTGTAGTACCTAGTATTTGTTGTACTGCTCTATTAGTATATTAGTATAGACATCCTGAGGGACCTAATGATTTGAATCACAAAATACCTCAAAATGAACCCTATAAAGGCCATTGGTATTATAGACTAGCTAACTCCTACCAAGGTCAAAGAAGTACAATCATTTTTAGTATTTTTTAATTTATATCATAGATTCATCAAGGATTACTTGAAAATAGCTAGGCCACTATTCAAGCTAATATAGAAGGAACATAGCTGGGATTAGACACTAGCATATGAAGAAGTATTTCAGATACTCAAGAAGATATTCAGAGAATCTCTAGTACTTATTATACCAGATACTAGGAACCCTTTCTATATCAAATATGATGCCTCCAACTTCACCACTAGAGCAGTAATATCACAAGTCACATCTAATAAAAAATAGCACTCTTATGCCTATATTTCCAAATCACTCTTATCTACAGAACACAACTATCCCATCTATGATAAGAAGTTGCTAGCTATTGTTTGAGCCTTTGAAGCTTGGTAACACTACTTAGAAGGCACCAAAAACCTGGTTGATATCTAAATGGATCACAAGAATCTAGAATGGTCCCATTCAAGCTAGAAACTAAACTGTTAGCAAGCTTGATGGTTACTCTTTCTCTTATATTTTGACTATAAATTAATGCACAAAATGGGAGTCACCAATAAATCTAATAATCTGTTATAGTGTCCAGACTATAAAGAGAGGATAGAATTTGACAATTTAGGCAAAACACTTTTGGAACCCAAAATTTTCAATTGAGAAATGAAAATGATCTGAAAACCCTTTACAAAAGTCAATGCAATAACCACAAAAGATATCCTAGACCCCTATCAAGTCTTTCACATTAGGGCAACTGAATGAGAAGGCTTTACTATAATTGACAAAGACCTTAAGAAATATATATTTAAAAAGAACAAGAAAGATGAATAGCTGCTAGAAACACTAACCAAAGTCAAGACATTATGTCAAGCTAGCAGGCTTATTATGTGCAATAAGCACTAAGATGGGTTCCCTAGGGTAACTAAAGAGTAATGGCCCAGCAAATTGTTATGAACTGCCTACTGTATTTTTCTTGCCTTTCCCATGATCTGTATAAGGACACATAGGACCTTTCTCCTGACTATACCTCGCATTCCTGATCCACTGCTAGTTGGTCTGTGCTCTTGCTTGTACATATTTATAGCAGCTGTGGCATAGTAGGGAAGCCTTAGGCTATCCACCTCTGTCCAATCTAGGAACTACTGCTTATCAGTCTTCCCTGATTTTCAAGCATTGGTCTAATCAGCTTTGCCTCTTCATATCCATCAACCTCGCCATCATCCTCTTTTGTGTCTATACTGATTTGTGGACTAGGAATCTCTCGTCCCAAACAGCTGTTTGTGACATCTGGATAGCCTCACCCCAAACCCTACTCCACACCCCAGTTTTGCATTTCCTTTCATAGCAAAACACCGGCTACATACATACGGCGCTAGGCAGTCCCAAAAGACAAGCAACCGTTGACCATAGTAGTTACTATACACTTTGAGCAAACAATTAGGTGATTCCACTTCAGTGTGGGTCATTTCAGGTTGTAGAATATCTCTATCTGGTAGTCAACTCAGTGGAGGTACGACTGAAACAATTGCACTTGATGTTACTTACTATACAATACCTTACGGTACCTGGCCAGAAAGAGCTGCTATTGCCTTGATCCTCAAACCTTGATCAGGTTGAGGCTAGCGTAGGCTCTCTTGATCGAATCACCACGACTTCCAAAGGAAAGAGAAGAGAAGTAAGATGAGTTATGCATGGAACTGACTACTTGGAACACTTACACTCGTATGTCTACCTTGGACAAGCTATCAGAAGAAATTCAAAAGGAATCTGGGTTTATGTAGGAGGACCAGATAGCAGAAAACCCATTGATGCTCCACTAGTAGCCTGGGAAGACAGGAAAGCACCTCTCAGAATAGTTACAATCCCGACCTGAACTAAACCCACACTACCCCCAATCGATATCCCTAAGGAAAACACACCAGTTAACATTCCCAAAGAAAACATCGAAGAAGAAGTCATCCTGGCAGGAGTATTAACCCCTGTAGATGAAGAAGACCCAGAACTGACACCAGGACCAAGCAATCCAAGACATCTGGATCTAAACCCAGACCTAATGCCAAATGCAGGAACAACAAATGCAAACAACGAAATGTCAGATGAAGGAAATAAGCTAAAAGACTTTGACAGGACCAGGTCCAAATACCGAGAATGGATCTACGAATGCCATATGTACATCCTGGCCAACCCAACCAAGTACACCACAGACATGAATAAGACCCTGATGGTACTATTATACATGAGGAAAGAAACAGCCTTGTTGTTTGTCCAAAAATACTACTTCAACAGAGAACTCTAAGAGTACAAAGCAACAGAGACCAAGCTGGGGAACGTTCAAGGAATTCCTAAAGGAACTAGCTGCCACATTCAAAGATGAAAGTCTAGAACAGAAGGCACAACAAAACTGTTCATCATGAGGATGGGAAAATGCTCAGTAGACGAATTGGTCACAGATTATCTCATGACTGCCGGAGAAAGTGGATTCAACTTAGAATCCATTGTTGACTACTTCCGCCGAGCCATACACCCAGAAATCCTCAAACAAATTTACAGACTTCCAGAAATGCCAACCATGATAAATGACTGGGTAAAACACACCCAAAGATTTGACAACCAGTGGAGAGAGCTCCAGAGCATAAAAAGCTCTATCCCTACCACAATGCCCCATCGCAACAACCCCTTCCGCTACGACTCTTCCAATGCCCCCATCTCTATGAATAACTTAGTCATGCCCATGGCTATAGATGCTGTCCACACCCCCCTCACCGACAACAAATGAGCTAAGCTACATGCTGAGGGTGGGTGTTTCTATTGTCAACAGAAAGGGCACATGGCAAACCAATGCCCTGCCAGGATTTTGTCTAGGATACATGAAGGGGGAACTGGACATGTTTAATAGGGTAGTGGAAAAGTGGGGTATTGCCTAGCTCAAGCTGGCAGAGCATTGGCCAGCAGAGGAGGAGGCTATGGCAGAGCGCTCCTAGCAAGAGCTCAGGGCAGTGGCGAGACAGCAACTATGGGCGAAAGTAGAAGCATGGCAATGACTAACCCATTCCAGGCTAGACTTGCAGCGTGCCAAGCCTACACACCTGGAGAGAATGCATCTGTACATCAGAAGGAGTCTGAGATTAGCCAAGAAGAGGTCCAAAGGCTTATAGGGAAGATAAGATAGGATGAGCAAGAAGCACTCCTCCAGGAATTAAGTGAAGGAAGCAAGCAAAAGGAATCAAATATGGATTTTTGAACCGGCCTACGTCCTCGGTGTACCATAGGCCCACCCAGAACCCTTATGTAAAAACAGTTGTACGACTTATGAAATCCAATCAAAAATCATCTATGCACATAAACGTACGGCTGAAACACAAAAAGGGAACCACTGAAGCAAAGATACTGATCGATTCAGGAGCAGAAGGGCTCCTTATTGATAAACAATTTTGTCAAGAATGAGGAATACCACTCTAAAACATTGACAGATCCATTCCAGTGTTTAATATAGATGGAATGGCAAATGAAGGAGGGAAAATCACAGACAAGGCATGCCTCCTAATGAGAATGATGAACAATGAAGGCAACTATCATGATGAGCAATGCGAGCTACTCGCTACTAACCTAGGAGGGGAAGATGTAATTCTAGGAACAGACTGGCTGCATGAGCACAACCCGCAGATTAACTGGGTGAAGAACCACCTCATGTTCTCCACCTGTGCCAGAATGTGCCTAGTTTGCTGACCAAAATTCATGATACAAGCACAATTCCTATCATGACAAAAAAGCACAAGAATGATTGGATACTCTAAGATAGAAGACAAACCAGAAGAGGAAGAAAACACGGATGAAACCTTCTTCTCCAAATTCTACAAAGAATGGTACCACCAAGATCCACTCAAAATGCACCCACTCGAAGCAATCCATATCTAATCCATCCACAGCAAATCACAAGAGTTAGCAGAAATAGCAAACAAGAAGAAGGATAAACGCACAGTGGAAGAAATAGTCCCTGCATACATTCTCAAACACTTTGCTAAAGTCTTTATCAGGAAGCCTCGCAACAACTCCCTGAACACTCGCAATGGGATCACAAAATCGATATGAAGCCCAGATGGGAACTGAGCAGTTGTAAACTGTACCCTCTAACCAAAGAAGAAGAAGACAAGCTGTATGAAATACTGTAAGAGCATTTAAAAAGAGGAACAATACAAATATCAAACTCTTTGCAAGCATCCCCGTTCTTTTTCATAAAAAAGAAAAAAGGATATCTCAGACCGGTCCAAGACTACAGAAAGCTCAACAAATGGACAATAAAAAACAAATACCCATTACCCATGATTGACGATGTAATCCGAACCATAGCAAAATCAAAGGCAAAGGTCTTTTCAAAATTTGACATCAAATGGGGATATAACAACATCCATATAAGAGAAGGAGATGAATGGAAATGGCCTTCCTAACCAAATTTGGCCTATTCAAATGCCTCATCATGTTCTTTGGACTTTGCAACTCGCCGGCGGCGTTCCAAACCATGATGAATATCATCTTCCACAACCTCATCATTGCACAGGTTGTAATGGTATACATGGACGATATTCTCATCTTCACGAAAACAGTGAAAGAACATCAACAAGTGACAATTCAAGTCATGCAGATACTTTTGGACAACGATTTATTCTTGAAACCTTCCAAATGCACATTCAAAGTTGATACTGTTAAATACCTTGGTTTCATCATCTTCACGGATAGCATAGCCATAGACCCGGTCAAAGTCGAGGGAATTTCCAAATGGCCAAATCCAACAAACCTAAAAGAAGTACAATCCTTCCTAGGCTTTGGAAACTTCTATTGGAGGTTCATCCAAGACTTTGCCACTATAGCGCGGCCCTTAAATGACTTCACAAAAAAGGACACTCCTTTCACATAGATAGAGGAACACAATGCAGCATTTGAGACCCTCAAACTCTGCTTCACATCAACACCAGTGTTAATTTATCCTAATGGTAACTGACCATTCCAACTCAAAACCAATGCCTCCAAATTTGCATCTGGCCCCATCTTGTTGCAAGAGGTCCCGGGTGATGGCTGGCACCTAGTAGCCTACTTATCAAAATCTTTCAATGCAGCTAAACGAAACTACGACATTTCCAATAAAAAACTACTAGCTGTCATCCATGCCCTTGACCACTGGCATATCTACCTTGAAAGAGCACACTACCTGTTTGAAATATGGTCGGACCACAAGAATCTTCTTTACTTCTCCTCTGCCAGAACCCTGTCCTACCGGCAAGCACGCTGGGCGCTCTTCTTATCACGCTTCAATTTCACATTAGTACATAAACCTGGTACCTCCCACCGACTGGATGCTCTGTCTAGGTGTCCAGGTCTAAAACAGAGGGTAAAATTAGACAACAAAAACCAGATACTACTAAAACCCCAACTATTCGTCAAAAGCACCACAGGAAGAGGCACAGTTAAGATGCTAAATAGACAACTCAGGCAAGAGCTAAAGAACATCACAGCAAAAGACAAAAAAGTGATGGAAGCCATGAAAATCATCAAAACATCAGGGCCAAAAACACTCTCCAAAGGACTATAAGAATGGAACCTAGAAGATGACCTCATCTGGCATAGAGGCAAAATATATGTCCCACCAAATGACAAATTAAAAAGAAAGATAGTAAAAATGTACCATGACTCACCTGCAACTGGACATCCGGGGTGATGGAAGACGTATGTCCTAGTGTTAGACAACTTTTGATGGCCTGGAATGTTAACATTCGTAAAAGAATATGTAACAGGATGTGCCACATGTTAGAACACAAAAAATATCACACACCCTACACATGTCCCACTAATTCCAAACGAAACACCAGAAGGACCCTGGCAAATGGTGACAATGGACTTTATTACAGATCTCCCGTAGGTTGGACCATATGACGCAATCCATGTAACAGTAGACAGAAGCACCAAGGGAGTCATCTATACCCCATGCGCAAAAACCATAGATGCAGAAGGAACTGCTAACCTCTATATGAAAAATGTGTGGAAATGATATGGACTCCCAAAAAAGATCATCTTGGACTGAGAACCACAGTTTGCTGCTAGGTTCACTAAGGAACTCTGGAGAAAAACTAAAAATAACGATAGCACTATCCGCCACATACCACCCAGAGATGGACAGAGAAACCGAAAGAGTAAATCAAGAACTGGAACAGTACCTCCGAGCATTCTGCAATTACAAATAGACGAACTGGCCTGGATTCTTACCATATGCAGAGTTTGCACATAATATCAGAGAACATTTGGCCACATATTGATTTCTATTTGAACTCATGTACGGCTACAACCTGACCTTCACACCCCAAATCACCCCGAGATCTGACATCCCTCATGTAGAACAAAAACTAGAAAGGCTTGAACAATTACGAGAAGAAATCAAAGCCAGTCTAGAAGTTGCAGCAGAACTGATGAAAAGGAAAACTACCAAGAACAAAGTCAAGCTAGAAGCAGAACAGAAAGTTTGGCTCTTGGGAAAAAACATCACCACCATATACCCAAAAAACAAATTAGCCCCTCAACTACATGGACCATTTGAAATAGAAGAAAAATTGGGACCAGTCACATATAAATTAAAACTCTCACATGGAAGATATACCCGGTGTTCCATGCCTCCTTAATCATACTATATTAAGAAACAGCCACCCATGGCCCCAACTATGAACAACTACCTCCTGACCTCATAGAAGGACAGGAAGAATACAAAGTTGAAGAAATTCTTGACCAAAGGAAATGAGGGTGCGGATACCAGTACCTAGTGTGCTGGAAGGGATATCCGGACTCATCAAATAAATGGATCATAAGGATGAACCTAAAGAACATCAAAGAACTCGTAGAAGCTTATGATATACGACATCCTAATAGCATGCCTCTAAGAATGATTCTTACAAATATTGGACAAACAAACCCAGGAATGTATAAAAATGCCAACTCAATCCTCCAAATCCCCTCATCACTCTGACAACTCTCGTTTCGCAATAATCTTCCTTATCTTATACATGTCCTCTGACGGATCCCCCATCATTATCCACGGCGACAGCACCCTTGTTGAGGAATCAACACAAATGTCTCACACCAACTCCCCCTCTCTCGCACAGAGGAACAATGGGAGTGGTCAGTCACAATGGGTAGGATGCTGGACAAAGAAGACAACAGGAGGCTGCAAGCTGAGCAGTATGAGAGACACCTACAGATTATAAGGGAAAGGGCAGCAGAAAGAGCAGCATACCACATTCCTACACCCCCTCGTTCCCCCTCTCCTCTGTAGGTGATAGATGTCACCACACTACCTACGGTCTCACCTTCTTGCTCTCCTTCCCCGCCACCCTTGATCCAAGAGGAAGGAGTTATCTTCCCCAACAGAGAATCATATCTGACCGCCCCCATCGCATACCTCATGGGGCTTATAGAAGGCTCACCAAGCACAGAGTTTGTGTTAGGACCAACACAACCGGAGATACAGAGGGCATTGGAAATCCTAAAAGAAGAGAGGGCATTCGTATAATATGCGCAAAGGGCCTTACAAATACGAGAGGGAACCCTCATTGCCTGCATCAATGCAGGCAGGAGGAAACTCATGGGACTCGGCCATGTTGAACCCCTTCATGACACATTTCACCCTGCCAATGACCCCGCTCCTGCCAATAAGTACTATATGCCGTCCATGGCTATGGTATCTCATGCCTCGTCTATGGCTTCAAATGGAGGTCTGCTTCACCCAATGCTGGGGACTTATCCCACCGGCCCCAATTGAGGGGTCTATAGGTTCACATGTCCTTCTCCTCATTTTCAGGCCATACCCCTAACCTTCGGACTCCGCCACCCACCTTCTCACACCATTTGGAAAACCACCTCTTTGTATTAAGCTCTAATTAGTTCTATTTATGCATAATTAAGAACGATTAGGATTAGACATTTTTAGCTTACCCCCCCTCTAAACCTGTTCTAATTAGGCATAATTTTCCTAAATGAGAAATTATTAGGATTCATTATAACTTGAAATTTCGGAAAAATCATAATAAATCAAGCATCACAGTTCTAATAGCCTTCTTATAGAGTCATGTCTATTAGAGCACTAGTTCAATACCTAAACACAGAATACACCTTATAATAAACTTGCCTTTTGCAAGAGTTGAACCAACAACCTCATGTATGCAAGCACCCAGAACAGATGCTCTAAGCCACTAAGCCACAAGGTCTAAGATATAAACTTGGTAATCTAAATAAGTAGACATAATATAGGCAACCTCAACATCTCTGATTTTATTCAACATTTATCTTTCTTCTATCTTATAAATAAATAGGTCAATAAATACCTAAAAAGTCAGGTCTTTGAGGATTTAGTTTAAACACTAGCTAAGAAGATAATAAACCAATGGAAAATTGATAATACACTTTATATAGGATAAAAGTAAATTATGGCACTTACACAATTTGGACTGAGAATGTATAAAACTATGATTGAGTATAATATTCAATGGGACTCTACTAGTATAGACAATGCTACCTGAATTTGCAAATTTGATCAAAAACATGATTATAAATAATCAAGATCCAATAAGAGATTGGGGTTTTCCAAATAGCCACTAGTGAGGTAGAGGATGGGGACAAGAGTATATGTATGGCATGCCTATATATAAATAAGCACAAGATTATTGGAGGTGATCTTAATATGCTTCATG